TGAATATAGGCAGCAAGGCAAATGGAGAAATACCAAGATGAACAGACACACGGACACAAACGCATGCAGGCACAGGTGGGTGTAGAGAGGAGAATCCTGAAAAAATGATATTCCTCTGGTTCTAAAGCAGGCACGCTCAACGAGCCGCTTCGTTTGCAGGGAGAATGCGGAGAGTTTCACCCACCTCGACGAAGGACACAGACGAAATTAAATGAACCAGCTGGCACCTGCCAGTCAAAATGTCCAAACCAACAGATCAGACATGTGGGGAAAATCGAGGCGAAAGCACGAAATCCTGTATGGCATTCACACTTTGGCCAAGCGTTCAGAGCGTCTGAAACACTCCCAAAACAACACACATACAAGCATATGCATATCTGCACATGCCGGAGTGCGGGAAAAATCACATTATCCCGCTTGTATGTGCGTGGGCTGCTCAAGTGCTTTCTCTGGGTCACACACTTGTGGCTTGCATATCTTGGACGTAGACAGAATGCCCACCCTCAAGGAGAAGAGGCTTGGAGAAAAAAGAGCCGACTGACATCATGACCTCTTGCTCAAGATGTGCCCGGCTCCCAGGGTCACAGCATCAAGAGGGGAGAGTGAGAGCAAGGGTAAGAGATCCGCATCAGCCTTCGAGTAACCCAATCGACAAGGTCGTCCATGGCACGCAGACCACTGATGCGGCTCGGTATCCTCTGACCCACTCACATGAAACTACCAGTTTGGCCAAACCGGTGAGTCAAATTCAAAAGGCCGGCAGGCAACGGACTCTCCTCTTCGTTCTGACAAGCATATGATGCTTAATGCACCGGAGGCCATCACGATTTAAACAAGCATTTAGATTAATCTCTTGTTGTAGATACTTTAATTTCCATAAAATAACAATATTCATACTCTGGCCTGCATGCCTACAGATTTTAAAGCACTCCTACGAAAATGCACTCGCACACACACACGCCAACGAACACTTACGCTCAAATATAAGTAGACCGGATGCTGTAAAAAAAGAGCTAACCAAATCCTTCTTTATACATCCATCAATGTTTCTTTCCATAAATATATTTTATTTTTTGTCATGAGTATACATATCATGTAAAATAAGATGGTGTAGTCGTCTTGACTTTGTGTCAACTTGATGCTTTCGCGAGAATGATTTACAGTTCTAGGCATAAGTGAGTAGGTTTTCGGGACTCATAGCTCTAATCATGTCATTCATACGACGGACAAAACGGGGAAGAATGTCGCGTTGACGGTGGTAACCTAAAGCTCACAATACAACCAACTGCCGAACAACTGAAATCAGCCGTTGTTTTCTGTTGAGTTCAAACTGTAAAGCGCTTTGTGACATGACATTCCACTTCGAAGGAAACGTTGGTCGGAAGAAATTCGTGATGTAGTCCCACCGGAAATCGAATGAGGATTACCGCGTAGGGAAATATATTGTATTGTGCAAAGTTACCCTCGGTCAAAAATCCTAAATCTCCGATGAACCCGTGTCAATCTTTCGTCGGTACTATGAAAGAACTCAGAGCAAAAAATGCATACTTTCCGAAAATGAGCTAAAATGTAAATAAAAACTGAGTTTCGAGCCCAAATATACCGAGTCAAGAGAAAAGTTGGCCGACTGCAATCCTAGTCGCTTTTTTATGCACCTAACCTTGCGGTCTTAATGAAGTATCCCATGAATTGGTTTAGTGTATTCTTGCTCGATTTCGTAATGTATGGATTTCTGCTTTGGTGATGTCTGTCACAACACGGATTAAAGTTTGGCACAGGTGCATCGGGATCGCAGGACGATGAGCCAAGGACTGCTTCGCACAATTCATCAGTCTCCACAACGTGTCAACCCTTATTTAGTTTTCGGTGAGATCATTCCTCGAATTCCTTTCAACCAACTTTTCCGTTGAAATGGAAAGTCAAGTCTAAATGCATCAATAAAGAATTCTTCGAAACACGATTTTTCTCATATTTATTAGGAGAAGTATGAGAGTGTTGGTGAGGCCTGTGCAAGGTCGAAAGTACAGACCATCCTGGATATGAACACCTTATAGGAAAGCAAAGCTACGTGAAATTCAATAGAAGCGAAGGCTATATTCATAACATTGTGGGAAAATAGAACAACTAGTCCATCATCACATTAAACGAAATAGAATGAGTACACCTCATATTGTGATGGGTAGTTAGTTCTCGCATTGTTGGTACTTCATTTCGCATAAAAGTGTATGAAGAAGAGATTCGAAGGTCGATCTCTCCAGAAGAGGAGGGTTGAATCCCGTTATACTGAAGCCGTTTGGTTCTTAACGGCATTGAGATTGATGCAATCCACGAAACATCCTCCCTATCTTCTGGTGAAAACGTGCTGAGCTTTCGTTCATCATATGATGGACATCATCAGAGCTGTGACTCATTCCTGTATAATTCCCACAAGAATACTGTATTTTTCGCATTAAAGTATTGTTTCGAGAATACTATCAGGCTCTATCTTACCTCTTATATAGTCTCTCATCTTGCTTTTAATCGCAGACGTACCATAATCAGCAAACCTACTCGTTTTAGACCATTCTCTTTCATGTCCAGTTTCTACCATGTATTCGGTCCAGCAATCTTTACAAGAATTTTTGTGTTCTTCAAATATTTATCGAATAGGTCGGCATGTCTCACCAACATAGCATCGACCACATGAGCAAACAATATTATAGTAGCCGGATCTCGATAATTAGTCATATTACTTTCTAAAAGATTGCATAACAAAAGAAAGTGTGAGGGTTCCTTTAAGCACTCTTTTTATCCCCCATTTCCTTAATAATTCGCCTTTTTTAAATGAAGGCATGATGGTAAAATTAGGACATGGGAAATGGTCTCAGCTTGTCTCTTTTTGATTATATTGTCTCCGTCTGAAAATGTATTCCTCAGTAAAGAGATATTATTATCAATAAGCACAAAGGATAATTATTTTCCAGAAATAAGTTTGTCAGCCATTTCAATGTTTGCTATCCACTATCCTCATACTCCTAATAATCGTTGACTTTAAAATTCCATTCTTAGTCTTGTAACTATGATTGGAAAGAAAATTCAGTAAAGAGCCGACCCTCTTCTTTAAGAATGAGAACATCCAAAAAGGGTAAGGACTTATTCTCTTGCATTTACATTGTGAACCTAATGTTCTTTTCACACTAGTTGAGTGAAAGTAGGAAACTATCGAAACTTTCCTTACCATGAGGTCAGATGACAAAATAGTCATCCATGTACCTAACCAACAATTTGGGTGTTAGTATTGCCCCTTGTAAGGAGTGTTCCTCCAGTCTTACCATATAATTGTTGAGCTTACTTCCATTTTGAGTGGAAGTGTTGAGTAAAGAGATTCGAAGGTCGGTTCCACCAGAAGACGATTGCGGATTCCTCTTGACTAGCTGTCGATTGGCTTTACTGGAAGATTCATGCTGACGCTGTTTCAGAGGCAATCTCCTTCGATTCCGGTAAAAAAGGGGCTAAGCTTTCGTCCGTCATATAACGGACTCGTTAGCTTGAATTTTGTTGTAAAGATGTTACCTCGCTCTGATGATGTCTTTCATATGACGGACGAAAG